GACACCATCACGCAATGCTGTAGTTAGCTGCGTCGCAATGTGCTTCAAGAAGTTGCCGTTGTGTGAGTTTGGCGTGACATTGTGTTTAAAATTTTCTGATTTATTATTAGGAACTTATCTCATTAGCTACCATGTCTTTACCTATCAATTTTTAGAAATGTAAAATCTGTAGTGATTGAAGTTCCATATTCTTTTTACATAGGGTCTTCCTTGATAGCATTACAGCATTTTATAAGCATGGTCCAGCAAAAAGCAGAGCGACTACCTACTTGTACCCTTTAGCCAACAACGTATTTCCTTTTTCAATCTCAGTTATATTCATACATTCATGTCACTTTCCCACAACTGAATTAAAAACCTAAAAATTAAGAATTGAGAAGATGAATCTACCATCATTGCACATCGACGTGCTCTACAGTAGATTAATCAGTCTGAGGATTTATTAGAAATGCGCAGATATGTTAAGGTTACGGTAAATCTGTAGCTATTGTCTTATCGATACCTCCATTCTAAATCACCAGGTGTTGAATGGTTTCATCTCCATTGTAAAACGCCTTCATGGGTTAAGGTGAAACCAAGATTCGACTCATGGAGATGGGTAGAGATGTCGCTCAACATTGGCTTACTTCGTCTGACATTGAGCCAGTAAGCATTCTGAATTAAAGCTTGTATTGTTCCGCAACTTCTCTATATCCTCGTTGCAAGGCTATGGATTCTTCTGAACGAGTTGCCATTGAAGAGCAAGTGACACGATTAAGCATGGCTATCGAGAAGTACAATACGGAGTTAATACTGAAAAAGGTAGATAAAATGCATGTGATGCGATGTAAGATAAACTGCAGCTACGTTTTCTTCAGTCTGGCTTGTACAATGAAAAGACCTGTGATCTTATCGAGTCTCCTGCTGACTTGATTGGCTACATTTACACTAATTGTATAGATTGGAAGTCGGCAAAGGATCGAGGTACGTTATTGATTTCATTTTAGAACAATCAAATAGTAGAGAACTTTATAGAAGAGAAGATGTCTGTCGCTGAACAACTTGCTAGGGCGAATCATCTCAGGAATTTAAGTCAAATTCAAGAAGAGTTGGCTACGAGCTGGCTTATAGCAGATAAAACTGATGACGCATATGCTGTGGATCCAAATGATGTAAATTTAT